ATTTAGAGAGGGTGGTTTTATATGAATGGGATTGGAAAAAGACCGTGCAGTGCATTTATGGAGGGATGCATTTATCTCTTAAGTCCCGAGGTTGGGAATGAGACATAGGGTGCACTTATGGAGGGGGTGCACTTATGGAGGGTGCACTTATGGAGGGTTGACTGTATATTTCAAAAATCTTAACTATTGCATATTATTTATTTATTTGTCAAACGCACTAGCCTACATCTTTCCAAGAAGGAAATCTTCTACATGAATAATACAACAAATTGCAACTTGCAGATTGCAATGCAGTTGGAATTTTGCAAACTACAAATTCCAAAAGCTTGTCCATGAACCTTTTGGAGACTGAATTTTTGGAGAAGGATGTGAGCAAAATTGAAATGCGAAACATTGTGGCGAACAAATTTTTTTTTGTGTGTTGACACGATTCGTCAAATGATCATCAAAACGTTTCTCTTTTATTTTTATTTGACCAATTGAACTTGTTTTTTTTTAAATGAGGGCTTTTGCCCATATAACCCACTCTAGGATAGAGGATTGTAGCATGTATCTTACAAGGAATAACCCTAATGAAAGAAGTTTTCCCCATTGCTGAGATTGAATGTTGATGATAATCATGTGATTATTGAAAACAGTAAAAAATTTTGGTCCAGAGAAAATTTACGTAATGCCTGATTATAAACATAGTCGACATATTCAAGCTCCCAATATCTACCACCTTAAAAATACTGTCTCAGATTTAAAAGATGAAGATTTTTCCAACACAGCTGATAAATATAAGAACATTATTTCAAAGAATAAAGGAAATTATAATGATAAATCAGATTATGAATAGCAGGTATAACTTTTTTAGGTTTTGTAATTATGTATTAAAAGAATTAAAAGAAAAAAATAAATCAATATTGTAACAATTAGATTATTTTTCTTCTAAGGATTTTTGCCTTTTGTTAGGCAATAGCATACTTTCATGCTGCTTTCTTTTTCCAACATTTATTATTTTTCTTTCTTCATGGTAAATTTCATAAGTAATCCTTTCTTTTCTTAGATAAGTTTCCAGTGTTTGAGTATCATTTATTTTGAAAATGCAAGGAGCAATTTTCTCACCTTGTTCTTTTTTCAAAATACTTCTAATGGTGCTGTAATTCTTAGGTTCCATGGTAGATCTGATGTAAATGAGTTTCATATTAACTATTTTTATATAGGGATAGTTCTATATATCACTTAAGATAACAAATGGGATATTATAAAACTATTAATTATGATCACATTACAAATGACTAAATTTCGATCCCTGAAATTCTTGGTAATACCAATGTTAACTTTGTCTGGTTTTGTTGCATATATAAAAATACACAAATAACAATCACGTGATTAATTTTCTAAAAATTGTAATTTTTTAATGCTTGTTGGCTTCTTTTCTTCTTCAATATATAGTACACACCATCTTCTTTCCATAACAGATCTTGCTCTATAGGACTGCGGATCATCAATTAATTATCTGCCATCAACAATTCGTGATTCATTTAAAACATTTTGATTTCGAATTCAGTTAAAACTTATATTGCCCTCATTGTTTTCAGATTTCAAAGACAATAATAATAAATTTACTATAACCAATTCAAAGTCCTAGATAAACTTACCTCGATGTTATTAAACTTCTTGATTCTTTCAATTGTCAAGAATTTCGTCATCTATATTTTCACATAGGTTTAATGATTGTACTACACTGCCACGTAGTTGAAAATTTATTTTATGTCCTCCAAGACTACCAGAACCGTTTATACCAGGTTCTATCGAGGCTTTGCCATTGTCAGAAATGAAGATGAATTCCATGTTTTTTGCAATTATGATGTCACGATGAATATTTAAAATTCGCATTTGAACAGTTAAGCAGAAAATCAGAATTGGAAGGTTTTATCAGAAACAAATTCATATTCATATCCGAACTAAACAATCTTTGTTATTATATAATTATTATAAGTAGTATGCAGTAATATATTTCACCTGGTTTAACGAATGTCTGGAAGAGAAGAGAAGAATAACTATGCAAATATGGTTTGCAATTTGTAATCAGGTATTACTCTGTGTTTCCTTGTCAGTATGTAGGGCATTGCGAGCCGAGTCGGGCCGAGCTTGAGCCAATTCGAAATTTAATATTTGCAGGACCACTGAAAATGATCGATGAATTGTATGACATAATCGAACTTTAGAACATAATTTTATGAGACTAAAAAATTTCAAATATTAATAAAAGCACTTTTAGGTTCTGAAATATATGCATATAAACAGATATTAAAAAAAAACGTTTAAACAATCTTTATTATTGTTGAGTTGGACTAGAGTTTCTATTCGTAATAGTAATACAAATTTTATTCGAAAGTTGAGCGAGCTCGGGTTAAAACTTGGATTTTTAAGAAAATAGGCTCTTAAATTGTTTTTAGGTAATGGATTGCACAAATATAATAAAAAATATTATGAAATAGTAACATCAAATTCGAGTCTTCGGAGCTTTAGCCAATAAATAATTCAGTCACGTTCGACGACTAGAGTCAAAAGTTTCGTCACGCAATTATTAGTCAAGTATTTTTATTTAGCCGACATTCCTCACTTTAGTCAATGCTTTTGATTTGATCAAAGGCAATGACAAAACTTTGGACTTCAGTCATTAACGCGACTAAAATATTTTGTTATTTGACGATTACAAACTCCTAATGGTTAAAGTAATATAGTTATTTAGTAATTAAAATTAAAAATGATACCTTTTTTGAAGGAGTTTTGCAATCATGTTTTAATATCCGCTTCATCGCCACTATCATTATAATTATTAATTATTGAAACCCCGTTTTGTATTGAATTAACCCAAATATTCAATATAATATTGGAAATTCTAATTACTTCTCTTTCCACCATTATTTTATTATCTATCTCAAGATATATTTCAATCTCTTCATCTGGTACAGTAACAAGATTATATTATTAACTGCTGGCGGTAACGATTATGAAAAAGTAAACTTATTTATAAATGACTATTTATCTAATAGAAAATCTGGTATGAATAGATGTAATTAATAATGACTAAATATAAAAATCTGTTTTAGTAGATGTCAAATCTGTCAAAATAAAAATTAATGAATTAGATTTTAAGTAACGATTTATTAGATTTATTTATTATTTTATTTTTATTTATTAATCATTCTTATATTGGTGTTAAATTATTATTAACTAACATTCAATAAAAATTTCAAGGCTCGGTTTTTCTAACAAACAAATTGTTTATAATATTAATTAAAATGAAACCAGTAATTTTCACTTCTTTTTCTTGTCAATTGTTTTCAAATAATACTTCTCCTTTTTCTTAACTGCTTTCATCAGCATCTCCAATATCATTGTTTCTTTGCATCGTAATCAATTCTTCATTTTTCATAATATATTGATTGCATCCTTTAACCAATTGATTTGCCCTGTAATATTCTGCCCATTGCTTGATTTCTATAACATTATTGGGCTCAATATAATGACCAGTTAAAATCTTTTTTTCTAACCTTTCTTTTAACGCATCAATAAAATACATATCAGAATATTTTAAAATTCCAAGTAATAATTTCAAGTAATAACTTTCATAATCATCAACTTCTGTCTTTTTTTTCGCAAGCTCGTCGATCAATTTATCTAATGATTGTCCATACAACCATCTTAAAAGTATTTTAAACCCTTCAGGTTTTATATCCGTCAATTCAACATAAACCTTTTGGAACTCGATTGATTCTTTTGAGCCGCCACAAAACATACTTTTGAAGTGATCAGACGCAGCTAAAAAATAAAAGAAGTTTATTTATAACTTATAAATTAATATATAATAATATACATAATAATAAAATCTTTACCAGATAAAACATATCTATTTGCACCAATTTCTTCCATTTTATTAGTTTCTTCATCTCCAACTTTAAATATTACATCATGATGATGAGTATCCGGATGTCCAGCTAAACTATCAAATAACCCATTTAATAACTTTTCTCGTTGAGAATATTCACCAACTTTTACATCAGGCTCGATATCATTCAATTCTTTTGCACCAGAAGCCTTTAACAATCTTTTATATGGTTCCAGATTTGGTTTAACTTTGCATAAATTGTTATTGATGTCCTCTCGAATGCCAAATACAAGTTGATTACCACTTTTCCAACTATTTGTAAAGGGATTCTCGCTATTTAAAAATACAGGCTCATCTGTTTGAAAAGTTTCTTGAAGTTCGTCTTCACTTATAGTTTCTAAACAATCATTTAAATAGGTATATATTTCCTTTATAGATTTTAATATATGTTTATCCGCATATTGTGATATCCAATCTTTGTTATCTTCCCGTGACTTTAATGACAAATGACATAAATGATTAAATATTTGTCGGAATTTTGGGAAACCTAATTTAGAAATAGAAAATGAGCTCGGTGGTTCAATAATTGGATCAATCAGACAAACTTGGGTCCAACATAAATCACGATGTCTTTGAAAACATATAGAATTGAGTGATTCATAATATATATCACTTTTTACAGTTTCTTTATATGGAAAATCTAGGTTTTTTGCTACTGGAACAAATTTAATATTTAAAAAACGATTGAGTTGATCCCTTCTTAGTAAATCTGTATTGTGATAAAAATATTTTAAAAGATCTTCAGCCTTTTGTTTAACAACATTAAATGGAGTGTCTTCATATTGGATATTTCTAAGGATTTCCTCAGCACACTCTACTAACGATTCACCATTAACACTATTTCTAAAATCCATTTTTCTTAAAACGTTCAAACATTGCGGATGATTTTGCAATTCATCAGGTAAAAATCTGTTTGATTCTCTAAAAATTGACCTAAATAATGGCACATTCTCGTTATACAATTCATTTGCTTTACGATATTCGGATAATGTCTTGTTCGGAATTCCTGATTGTTTATATCTGAAATAATCTTCGATCCTTGGGTCATTTAACAATAAAACATTTATTAACAATTGAACACAATCTTGATCTGGTATGTCTGGAATGCATGGTAATAAATCTTGCGTCAAAAAATCGTAGGAATCCTTTATGGTATTAAAAAAAATATTTAAATGAAAAAGAAATAAAACAAAAAGGGATCTGATGAGAAACTGACTTCTAATACTTACAACAACCTTGGCACCCAATTCAACTAAAATGCTATATTCATGGTCACTTTCTGTCAAAAAATAATTAGTGTCAACCTGGAAAGAAACATTTTGAAAAGTTTTTGGTAATAATAAACCATCCACAACCGCAACATAATTGTGTTTAATTGATGAATGCACTGGCCAAATTTGCAATTGGTCAAGGATAGGTTTAAAGGTTCTTTCTTTTTTTGTTGATTTTCCATCTAAAAATATAATAATTTTTTATTGTTAAAATTATTAAAAAAAAAAAAAGCCAAAAATTTATTAAACTTACATAAATTAAAATGTTCTTTGACAAATAATCTTATCACTTTTATGTCTTCGTCAGTCAAATCAGCTTGTGTAAATAATCCTTTAACTCCTAAATGAGATATATTGGCTACATTTTCAATCGCTTTAAGAACATTTGTAAAGTTCCATTCAACAACGAAATTTTGAAGATTTGGCTTTGCAAATTTAGAGAAAGCCATGTCAGTAAAACGAACTTTTAATTTCGTCAGAACTTTAAAGACCAAATATTCTTCCTTATCTATTAATAATAATGGATATTCAGTATTTGGTAAGACAAGTTGGCGGCTTGGATGGGTCATTGGGAGTAGAGGATATGATTTCAATTTTGAATAATCATAATCGGTAAACATTAATTTTTTCCATATACAGTCAAGCCATGTACGATTTGGTATGGAATCAGATTCCGGATCCCAGCAAAAATCTCTACCAGGCAATTCATAGCCTATAAGATCTAAAATCGCATTTGCATCTACTTCATTAATTTTCAATGTTTTTGAGAATTCCGCTTCAAGAAAAATCTTTTTGAGTTTACTTGGTAAGTTACTACAAATGAATTTTGAATTGGAATACGCGCTTGGGAATAAATATTTACATTCTTCATTTTGATCGATAAAATATGAACTTTCTCCAAAGTCACCCACATCGTCATTACATAACGGAACCAAAGGTAATTTCAATAATTTTTCATATGATTTTGCCTTCGTAATAAGGATGAAATTTAAAAATTTGAATATCTTTTGATGATCTAATAGATTTTTGTCTACATGTTTCAACAAATCGCAAACCATATCTGCGTCAAAAAGCTGGTGATCAAATTTCATTCCAAATCTCATTGTAAAATGTTTCAACTTTTTCTCTTCCAATTTAACAACTGGAGTCCCTGTTTGTGTAAAAAGATGTATATCAATATCTTCTTTATCGTCGAAAAGTAATGCTTCTGCAGCGCTGACAAATTTGCCACCATTTGCTTCTGTCCAAAAAATTTTACTATTTTTTGCAATTAATTTTCGTAATACTTTTAAACCATATTGTTTGTATATTGTGTCTATTCTAAAATTAGCATCATTATTAATAACAGGCCAAAAATGTGTGGTAGTATAGGCATTAAAATTACTTGTATCACCCTTGAGTTCTATGAATCTTTTATGATCTCTTTTTGCAATATCTTCTAATAATTTAACATGTAAAGTAGGTAATATTTCTTGTAAAATGTGTTGATTCCATCTATGAATTTTTTCTTCTGAATCTCCAGATTGTGTCGATTTATTATTATCAAATTGTAGAATACTACTTCGATCATTAGACACTAAAAATTCACCATTTAAGTGCACATTCAAATTTGTCTTAATTGGAAGTGGCAAATATACGTAAATATCTCCTTCGAGTTTCGGTGGTCCCAAATGAATACCGTTATGCATTTTATCTAATGGTTCGTATGCTTGAGCCCAAAAAATCGCAACACCACCTCTAGGTTTCAAGCCTTCACTGGTTGAAAGATTTTGTAAATCCATATCCAATGTCTTTTGTTCTTCGCCGTTGCAAATTAACCATTTTTCAGAGCTTATCACAGTATCTTCACATTCATAAACATTACTCTCTATTTCTATACATAGTTCAAAAGGTCTTGCATGATTAATATTGATAAAGGTACTTCGAATAGATCCCAAATCAATGGGAAGACGTATATTTGCTTTCCAGATCAAAATTGGATTATCAACATCGTCATCATCGTCTGTAATTCTATGCACACTAAAAGATTTAATGTTTTTTAAAAAAATCATTTCTCGGCTTCCTTCAATTTTAGATAATAATTCAACTATTGAATCAGGTCCTTCCACTTTATTTGATATTTTACTCATATCAGCTAATCTTTGTGTTCTAAACGGGAGTCTGAACAAAGTTCCATCAAATTCTTTTGTAAAATCACAATTTTTAATTCCTTTATATGGTAGTAATTGATCTTGGAAATGAGTGCCGAAGCTTTTTTCAAGAAACTTTAATATATTTCCACGCTGACGTGTTGGTGGATGGCCTATAGCTGGTAGGAATTTAGAATGTGGATCTAAAAAGGCGATATATTTACCACTGACAAAACTTGGACAATCTGTAATATGATATGCACAATTGAATCCAAGGCCAAATCGTCCTATTTTACTATAATCCTTTTTTTTACCACCAACACCAAGCTCTAAAAATGATTGAAAATCTTCCTTTGTAAATTTCGCATTATTATAAATCCAAAGAGCAGGACCTTGCCAATCGTGCATTTCTGGTGATATTAGTTTTGGATTATTTCCAGGATTCACTGACCTGAAATCACGATCATCCACAAAAACACAAAATTCAGTTGCTTTTGCATCATCAGCATTCTAATAAAAAAAGCAAATAATAATGAGTGGCCATTAGTAGTAGCAATAATAATAATAATAATGGTTAATAATGGTTAATAATGGTTAATAAAAAAACCTGTAAAAACTCTTTAAATAAAAGGTTTATCGGGTAACTCTGAAAAAGAAAAAGAGTATTAAATATAAAAATATATAACAAATATAGATATTATTAATATTTATAAAATATTATTAAAAATACTGACCTCAATAATATTTTTTAATCTAACTGTTAAAGGCTCACTTTGTTCAAATGATTTAAAAGGAAGATTGACTGATTCGATGAAAACTTCATTGAGCATTTTTAATCTTAATTTTTTTGCCATATCTAATGAGATTCTTGGATGTGCACTTTTATCATTGTCTTTATCAGCTTCAGGCATATTATCAAACTGAACGACATTGATATCAACAAGTTTGATATTTGTATTTGGAATCAATAAACCATCTAATAAATTTATATCATTATTTGATTTGTACCTACTATCACTTGACAATAAAGCAGATATTTGTTCAAGCAATTCCATCACATTGTCAAGCAGATTTGAAGGTAATGTACAATTATTATTTGCTTTATTAATGCTTTTTATAGCATTAATGAAGTCAGAAAGTTCAACATTTTCACGAATACCCATTTCTATAAACATTTCCTTAAATTCATTCTTATACTCCATTGGAAGTTGAATAATTAGAGAATCACGATTTTGTAAATTTTTTGGCAATTTTAAGACTACTTGGTCTGGTCTGTAGAATCGATCTTCCCAAAAAATCAAGGGTATTCCCTTAAACCCATTTTTAAGCATCCGTAGTTCCTTCCGAGATTGTTCATCAGTCCCCTGCCTTGCATCATCGATATATTTATAAACACTCTTACAAATACTTGATCTATTATGATAAAATTTATTTCCTGATGTTAATGTCGAACAAGCTTGCATTTGCCTGATCACATTTTCAATATGAACATAATTATTCCAACCAAAAATTTCTTTTAGTGATCTATTCTCAAGAATATATTCAACAATTGGCATTACAAGTCCCACTAATTCTTTGTCATCTAACGGTCGACAACCTTTAGCTCTCGAAAAAAATTTCTCTCCTTTACTATTAATTGTGGGAATCCATTCAAGTTCTGCAATATTACTAAGAAGTGACTTTTCAGGTCTATTTTTATGTTCATGAGTCTTTTTTTTTCCCCATATCCTGTCAATATGTTTCAGAAAACTTAAAGATTTTTTGTGTATAATTTCCAATTTCTCATTATCAGCATTTTTTCTATGACCATAGTAAGATTTTATTCGATCAGATATGTCATTAATTGATAATGAACGTTTTAATCCCAATTCATAAAGAAAACCATTACTTAATTGAGCTATTGTTTTATGATAACTATCGTTATTGTTATTATTATTTGGTGATATAATAAAATCACCAATTGGGAACAGTTTTTCATCATCAAAGAAGAATTCTAGAAGCTCTGGATCATAAAGTTCCTTCGGTTTAGATAATACAATTTTATCATCACCTGCTGCTTTTCCTTGGACCATCAATATCGATCCACTAGGTACAAATTTAGTCTCTGATAATTGCTCTTTAAACTCACTATCATTTGTCATAAGTACAGGTGATACTTCAAAAAGTCTTTTGATAACTAATTTAATTTCATCAAAATTATATTTTTCCAAATATGGTAAAACAAATTCCTTCCAATATCTTACATGCTGTAGACGTGGAATTTTGATTACATCTTCAAGCAGATATCTGTAACTGTCACTACTATCAGTTCCAACATGTAAAAATACATCTTTATTTTTTGGCACAATAATTTTTCCATAAGATTGTTCATCTTCTGTTGGTAGAAGAAACCATTGTTTATTAGTTCCAATCAAATTAATCAATTTGTCATTTTCGTCTACCTCGCTATATATAGGAAGATATTTTAAAACTTCGATAATATAATTTTTAGGTTCTAGCAATAACTGATCTAGTCCAGTATATTTTTTCAAATATTTTGCTAAATAATTTGAAAATAAAAGAGAATTTTGTTTATTTAATTGATGTGGTAATAAATTGTTTGGATATTGTCTATTGGATTTCAATGACTTTAATACTGCTACTACATCTGTGGTGTTGAATACGTATTTTTTTAATCTGGTTTCTTTTGGTGCAAAATTTTCATTGAATTCTTTTTCAACAAAAACAAGTCCAAACGATTTAAGAATGATAATTATTTCTTCAGATGATTCGGTTTTCCTACCACTATAACAAAAACATTTTTGAATAGTTTTTAATTTTCTCAAAGTAATATTAATATTATCATCATTAGTTGGTAAAATATGAAGATTTTCAAAATGTTTAAATTCAAACATTTCTCTATACAATAAGTTCCCCCACAACTGATAAATCCATTCGCGTTGATCATTATCATTTTTATGCATTTTTATCTCATCGTATTTTTCACTATAATTAACAGAATTAACCAAGTTTGACTCGATCATTTTAGCAACTACACTTTCATTCAAAATTTTAATATTGCTGATTCCATGATGATTCGTTTCTGCATTGTTGTACAATTTATTCCATAATTCTGATGAAATTCCTTTATCAATGAATTTTGCTAAATGGTTTTTAAAAACCTTTCTCTCATCATATTCAAGCATTTCTTGATCATTGTCAGGACCAATATAATAATAATCCTCATCCCCTTGATTTGATGATGCCGTTGAAATTGTACCTAATGATCCATCAGATAACGGAATCATTTTTAATCCATCTAAATAATCTGAATCATCATCATCCAAAATATAATTAAATATGATGAGAATTTCATCTCTTGGAAGATCATTCAGCAAATATTTCCTTTCATGGAAGAAAAGCTTTACAATCTTGGGTGAATAGAATTTAATCGAAGATCCATTTTTAGATTCTTTCAACACAGTCAATATGTCACTAGGAACTTTGATCACAAGAAATCCTAGATCTGCCAAAATTTCGAATATACCTTGATCCTGTGTTTGTGATTCGTCTGCAAAGTAACCGTCAGAAATCGATAACCAACAAAAATTTCTATCATGTGACGATATTGATGATGTTGAATTGAAATCAAAGGTTTTAGAGGGACTAAAAAAAACTTTGTCTTCAACTTTAATATTTTCCACAACATTTAATAAAATATCTTTACAAAATTTATCGACACTGGATTTTTCTGATGAAAATAATGGCCAAAGTGAATAAAATTCTTCGGAATTGTTATAGATCACATGAGAAGAACATAGTTGATATAACAATTCTACCCATGCAGATGGCAATACTTCATTAAATAAATATTGATTCCAACCAACTTTAAGACGAGCCAATGAACCTACAGCCTTCATTTAAAAAATAATTTTATTTATTAATATACATTTATACAGTTACTATAAATATTTATATAAATTGAATTCACTTACCAGATCTTCATTATCAGCAGGTAAAGAACGACGATTTGTGCTAACCTATAAACATACATTAATATGATTTATAAAATGTATATTCACGTAATAATACATTGAATGAAATTTACCGCAAAATACCCATGAACAGAAACCCTAAAAGGCATGTCAATAGGGAGTGGCAGAAAACAAAATAATCGACCAAGTGCTTGCTGATCATCTAAACAAACAGCCAATCCGACATTTGGAACAAATTTGTATTCTCCAATGTTTCTTTGAAATCGCTCCGTGAAATATTTTTCTGCTTTATAAAGATTATCTAGGTAATTTAGAATCAACCATTTTTGAATTTTTGGCTTGCTACCCTTTTTGTTAACACATTTACTAAATTCGGCAATGTATGCTGGTTTCGAAATACTGGTGTCAACTCGTTGCTTATGATCTTGAAAAATTTTCATTTGTTTGATGATTTGTTCGACAACTAATCGACGTTGACTTCTAACTTCATCAGCATTTTTTAACTCGATTTTGTATAACAAGTCAGGTTTCACAGCACCTTTTTTAAATTCATAGAAAGAAATGGTTTCGATGTATTTCAAGAAAAGTAAACAATTGACACTTTCTTTTTGATAAAAATTTTCAAACATTTTCAATATTTTCTTTGGACTATAGCTTATTTTAGAAATATTAGAATCAACAGCATCTTGCTCAGTTCTTAGTGGATAACGAAAAATTGTTCCATTGAATGGTTTGTTGAATTCAATGTTGCCAAAGGGCTTTGAGAATGGCAAAATTTGATCGTTATAAAAATTTTGCAAATCATCTTCAACGAAATCATAAACACGCCCGCCTTCGAAATAATATTCATGTGGGTCAAGAATCACATACTTCTTATCAGTAATAAATGAAGGAGAATCGGTTATATGATAAATTGAATTGAAGCCAACACCCATAACTAGTATTAATAAAATAATAATTATTTATTTATTGAAAATCAGATAAAATTATATTTTATTAATTTACCTCCAATTTTGTCAAATTGATCACGCTTTTCACTATCAGCCAACTTCAATAAAGAGGAAAAATCTCTTTCATCAAAAATAGTATCATTTTTTGATAGCAAAGCAGGTCCTTGATAACGTTCAAGTTTTAAATTTTTTGTTTTACAGTTAGACAATAAAGGCTCAAATAATCGAGTCGACGGATAATTATTATAGTCGAGAATAAATATTTGTTCAGTGCTTTTAGCATCATCAGAATTCTGAAGAATTTCTCTGAGAATTTGGGAACCATCTGGATAATCTTCAAGAATTCTTTTGATTCTATTAGTGTACGGCTCTCGAGGTTTGAAAGCTATTCCAATAGGTTTTGTTGACATATTGTATTTTTTTTTTCAAAAAATTGCGTAAGAATGCTGTTTATTTAAATAATTTATTTAAGTAATATTTTTAGAAGAAAAAAGATATGAAAAATAATTTATTAGGAAACAGTAACAATACTTGTATTCATTTAATATTAAGACAAATGACTTATCCCAGTAACATGTTTCATAATCAATATCTTAATATTCTATTGAATAACCCAAATAAAATCAAAATGGAATGAATGAAAAAGTTACAATTTAGGGAATTCTTTATATATAGTTTGATTAAAAAAAAACCTGTTTTTTTTTCGTGTTTTGTATTTTTATTTTTGTGATTGTTATCAAATTTGGTAAACAATACATTAATATTAATATTAAGGCTTTACAAATTTCGAGACTATTAAATTTCGTGCAACAATATTTTTTTTAATATGAAATTAAAATAGAATGAATGTCCACTTTGTCTAGTTTAGCCTCGTATATAATAATAAATTCATTATAGGAATCCAGAATAGTGATTAAGCCTGAATTAAATGTTTTCAATTTGCCTGAGCGCGATAAAAAAAAATAAGTTTTAATTTTACTACTTCGTCAAGAGCTTTTAATCGACAAAATGGCTCGCCGCCTTTAGTCGCGTCAATGATTAAAGTCAAAAGTTTTGTCATTACCTTTGATTAAAGTAATAACCTTGACTAAAGTGAAGGACAGTCGATTAAATAAAAATTCTTGACTAATGATGTATGACGATATTTTTTACTTTAGTCGTCGAACGTGACTAAAATATTGACTAAAGTACTGACTAAAGTTGGTTTTTTACCAAAGGCTATTTGACGATTAAAAAAAACTGATGAATGTGGTAAATTTTTGCATTAAAATTAAAATTAAAATTTTTGGAGTTTTGCAACAATATTTCAATATCCACTTCATCGCCACTATCATTATTAATTGTCGAATATTGAATTTAATTAAATCGCAAATTATTATTTAAAAAATAAAACAGTTATTTGGTTTTCATAAAACTCAAATATTCTTTTGATAGTCAATTGTTTATTATAATTATTATCTACAGTATCTCGAGATATATTTCAATAGCTTCGTCTGGTGCATAAATATCATCAAAAATACGTATAGTAATGAGATTATAATTATAAATGACTAGTTATTTATTTATATTGGTAGCATGAAAATAATAATAGTAGTAGTAGTTGATATATTTACATATTTTCTTTTTGATGTTTTCGTAAAATAAAACTCTAACATCTGCATAATTATTTTCATGAAATAGATGTTTATTTTATCTGTTCTAGTAGAGCTGATAGATTTTAGATCAATGAAGTTTTTTATCTATCAAAAAACAATTCATTATAATTTGTGAAAAAAGAAAAAAATTTTTTTGTCTCTAAAATAAATACTGAATTAATAAAAATTAATGAATTGGATTTTGAATCAAATAATGATTCATTGTATTTATTTTATTGTTCATCTCTTTTAGTATTAAGGAAAGAAGTTGCATAACAGCAAATTATTTAAATTTAAATTTTTTAAAAAAAATAATCAAAAACTTTTCCTCCTTTCTCTTGTCGCTTGTTTTCAAATAATACTTCTCCTTTGTCTTGTCGCGTATTTTCAAATAATACCTCTCCTTTTTCTTGCCGCGTCTTTTCACCGGCATGTCCAATATCATTGTTTCTTTGCATCGTTATCAACTCTTCATTGTCCTCAATATATTGATTGCATCGTTCAACCAATTGATTTGCCCTGCTATCCTCTGCCCATTCCTTGACTTCTATAACATTATCGGGCCCAATATAACGACTAATCAAAATCTTTTCTTCTAATCTTTCTTTTAACTCATCAATAACATACATATCAGAATATTTTAAAATTCCAAGTAATAGTTTCAAGTAATAACTTTCATAATCATCAACTTCTGCCTTTTTTTTCGCAAGCTCGTTGATCAATTCATCTAGTGATTGCCCATACAGCCATCTTAAAAGTATTTTAAACCCTTCAGGTTTTATATCCGTCAATTCAACATAAACCTTTTGGAATTCGATTGATTCTTCTGAATCGCCACAAAACATACTTTTGAAGTAATCAGACGCGGCTAAAAATAAAAGAAGTTTATTTATAACTTATAAATTAATATATAATAATAATCATAATAATGAATCTTACCAGATAAAACATATCTATTTGCACCAATTTCTTCCACTTCTTCATCTCCAACTTTAAATATCACATCATGATGACGAGTAGCCGGATGTCCAGCCAAACCATCATCTAACCTTTTTAATAACTTATCTCGTTGAGAATATTCACCAACTTTTACTTTATAATTAATACCTTTCAATTCTTTTGCACCAGAAGCCTTTAACAAACTTTTATATGGTTCCAGATTTGGCATAACTTTGCATATATTGTTATCAATGTCCCCCGGAATATCAAATACAAGTTGATTACCACTTTTCCAACTATCTGTAAAGGGATTCTCGCCATTTAAAAATACAGGCTCATATGTTTGAAAAGTTTCTTGAAGTTCGTCTTCACTTATAGTTTCTAAACAATTATTTAAATAGGTATATATTTCCTTTATAGATTTTAATATATATTTATCCGCATTTTGTGGTATCCAATCTGTGTTACCTTTCCGTGATTCTAATGATAAATAGCATAAATGGTCAAATATTTGTTGGAATTTTGGAAAACCTAATCCCGCAATAAAAAATGAGTCCGGTGGTTCAATACTTCGATCAATCAGACAAACTTGGGTCCAACATAAATCACGATGTCTTTGAAAACATATAGAATTGAGTGATTCATAATATATATCACTTTTTATAGTTTCCTTATATGGGAAATCTAGGTTTTTTGCTACTGGAACAAAGTTAATATTTAAAAAACGGTTGAGTTGATCCCCACTGGTAAATCTTAGTAAATCTGTATTGTGATATCGATAAAAATATTCTAAAAGATCTTTAGCCTTTTGTTTAACAACATTAAATGGAGTGTCTCCAGATTGGATATGCCTAACGATTTCCTCGGCACACTCTACGAACGATTCACCATTAACACTATTTCTAAAATCCATTCTTCTTAAAGCGTCCAAACATTCTGGATGATTTTGCAATTTATCAGGTAAAAATCTGTTTGATTCTCTAAAAATTGACCTAAATAATGGCACACTCTCATCATACAATTCATTTGCTTTACGATATTCGGATAATGTCTTGTTCGGAATTCTTGATTGTTGATATCTGAAATAATATTCAATCCTTGGTTCATTTAACAATAAAACATTTATTAAAAATTCAACATAATCTTGATCTGGTGTGTTTAGAATGTACGGCAATAAATCTCGTGTCAAAACAGTGTAGGAATCCTTTATGGTATAAAAAAATCTTTAAATGAAAAGAAATAAAACAAAACGAAATCTGCTAAGAAACTGACTTACAACAGTATTGGCACCCAATTCAACTAAAATGCTATATTCATGGTCACTTTCTGTCAAAAAATAATTAGTGTCAACCTGGAAAGAAACTTTTTGAAGAGTTTTTGGTAATAATAAACCATCTACAGCTGCAACATAATCACGTCGAGTTGATGAATGCACAGGCCAAATTCGCAATTTGTTAAGAATAGGTTTAACTCTTTCTTTTTTTGTTGATCTTCCAACTAAAAATAATAATGATTTTTATTATTAAAATTTCAAAAAAAAATTATATATATATATTAATCTTACATAAATTAAAATGTTTTTTGACAAATAATCTTATCACTTCTATGTCTTTGTCAGTCAAATCAGCTTGTGTAAATAATCCTTTAATTCCTAAATGGGATATATTGGCTACATTTTCAATCGCTTTAAGAACATTTGTAAAGCTCCATTCAACAATGAACTGTTGAAGATGTGGATTTGCAATTTTAGGGAAAATCATATCAGTAAAACGAACTTTTAATTTCGTCAGAACTTTAAAGACCAAATCTTCTTCACTATCTATTAATAATAATGGACATGTAGGATTTGGTAAGACAAGTTGATGACTTGGATGGGTCATTGCGAGTAGAGGATATGATTTCAATTTTGAATAATCATAATCGGCAGACATTAATTTTTTCCATATACAGTCAAGCCATTTACGATTTGGTATGGAACTAGATTCTGGATCCCAGTGAAAATCTACACCAGGTAATTCATGGCCTATAAGATCTAAAATCGCATTTGCATCTACTTCATTAATTTTCAATGTTTTTGAGAATTCCGCTTCACGAAAAATCTTTTTGAGTTTACTTGGTAAGTTACTACAAATGAATTTTGAATTGGAATACGATTTTGGGAATAAATATTTACATTCTTCATTTTGATCGATAAAATATGAACTTTCTCCAAAGTAGCCCACATCGTCATTACATAACGGAACCAAAGGTAATTTCAATAATTTTTCATATGATTTTTCCTTCGTAATAAGGATGAAATTTAAAAATTTGAATATCTGTTGATGATTTAATAGATCTTTGTCCACTTGTTTTAATGAATCGCAAACCATATCTGCGTCAAAAAGCTGGTGATTAATCATTCCAAATCTCGTTTCAAAATTTTTCAACTTTTTCTCTTCCAATTTAACAATTGGAATTCCTATTTGTGTAAAAAGATGTATATCAATATCTTCTTTATCGTCGAAAAGTAATGCATCTGCAGCACTGACAAATTCGCCACCATTTGCTTCTGTCCAAAAAATTTTACTCTTTTTTTCAATTAATTTTCGTAATACTTTTAAACCATATTGTTTGTATATTGTGTCAATTCTAAAATTAACATCATTATTAATAACAGGCCAAAAATGTGTGGTAGTATAGGCATCAAAATTATTTGGATCATCCTCAAATTCTTTGAATCTTTTATGATCTTCTTTTGCAATATATTCCAATAATTTAACATGTAAAGTAGGCAATATTTTTTGTAAAATATATTGATTCCACTTAAGAATTATTCCTTGAGTATCTCCCGACTGTGTCGATTTATTATCTAATTGTAGAACACTACTTCGATCATTAGTCACTAAAAATTCACCATTTAAGTGTACATTCAAATTTGTCTTAATTGGAAGTGGCAAATATACGTAAATATCTCCTTTGAGATTCGGTGGTTCCAAATGAATACCATTATGAATTTTATCTAATGGCTTGTCTGCTTGAGCTAAAAACATTGCAACACCACCTCTAGGTTTCAAACCTTCACTAATCAAAAGATTTTGTAAATCCCTATCCAATGTTTCTGATTCTTCACCATTGCAAATTAACCATTTTTCAGAACTTGTCACAGTATTTTCACATTTGTAAACATTACTCTCTATTTCTATACATAGTTCAAAAGGTCTTGCATGATTAATATTGTTAAAGGTACTTCGAATAGATCCTAAATCACCGGGAAGACGCATATTTGCTTTCCAGATTAAAATTGGATTATCAACATCGTCATCATCGTCTGTAATTCTATGCACACTAAAAGATTTAATGTTTTTTAAAAAAATCATTTCTCGGCTTCCTTCAATTTTAGATAATAATTCAACTATTGAATCAGGTCTTTCTACTTTATTTGATATTTCACTCATATCGGCTAATATTTGTGTTCTAAACGGGAGTCTGAACAAAGTTCCATCAAATTCTTTTGTAAAATCACAATTTTTAATTCCTTTGTATGGTCGTACTTGATCTTGGAAATGAATGTCGAAGCTTTTTTCAAGAAATTTTAATATATTTCCACGCCGACGTATTGGTGGATGGCCTATAGCTGGTAGGAATTTAGTATGTGGATCTAAAAAGGCGATATGTTCACCACTAACGAAACTTGGACAATCTGTAATATGATATGCACAATTGAATCCAAGACCAAATCGTCCTATTTTACTATAATCCTTTTTTTTACCACCAACACCAAGTTTTAAAAATGATTGAAAATCTTCTTTAGTAAATTTCGCATTATTATAAATCCAAAGAGCAGGACCCTGCCAATCGTGCATTTCTGGCGATAGTAGTTTTGAATTGTTTCCAGGATTCCTTGACCTGAAATCACGATCATCCACAAAAATACAAAATTCAGTTGCTTTTGCATCATCAGCATTCTAATAATAAATAATAATTAGTAGTAGTAGTAATAATAATAATAATAATAATAATAATAATAATAATAATGGTTAATAAAAACCTGTAAAAACTCTTTAAATAAAAGGTCAATTGGGTAACTCTGAGAGTATTAAATATAAAAATATATAACAGATATAGATATTATTAATATTATAAAAAGATTATTAATAAATAATATGAATATGTATACTGACTTCAATAATATTTTTTAATCTAACTGTTAAAGGCTCGCTTTGTTCGAATGCTTCGAATTCAAAAGGAACGTTGATTGATTCGATGAAAGTTTCATTGAGCATTTTTAGTCTTAATTTTTTTGCCATATCTAATGAGATTCTTGGATGTGCAAATTTATCATTGTCTTTATCAGCTTCAGGCATATTATAAAACTGAATGACATTGATATCAACGAGTTTAGGCTCGGTATTTGTATTTGGAATCAATAAACCATCTAATAAACTTATATCCATATTTGATTTGTATCTACTATCACTTGACAATAAAGCAGATATTTGCTCAAGCAATTCCATCACATTATCAAGCAGAGTTGGAGATAATGGACCATTGTTAATTTCTTTATTAATGCTTTTTATAGCATTAATAAAGTCAGAAATTCCAACGTTTTCACGAATACCCATTTCTCTAAACATTTCTTCAAACTCACGCTTATACTCCACTGGAAGTTGAATAATTAGAGAATCACGATTTTGTAATTTTTTTGGCAAATTCAAGATTACTTGGTCTGGTCTGTAGAATCGATCTTCCCAAAAAATCCAATGTCTTCCCTTAAACTCATTTTTAAGCATCCATAGTTCCTTCTGAGATTGTTGATCAGCTCCCTTCCTTGCAGCATCGATATATTTATAAATACTCTTACAAACTCCTGATCTATGACGATAAAATTTATTTTCTGGTGCTAATGTTGTACAAGCCTGCATTTGCTTGATCACAGCTTCAACAGGAACATAATTATTCCAGCCAAAAATTTCTTTTAGTAATTTATTTTCAAGACTGCATTCAACAATTGGCATTACAAGTCCAACTAATTTTTTGTCATTAAGTGGTCGACAACCTTTAGCTCTTGAAAATTTTTTTCCTCCATTACAATCAATTGTAGGAATCCATTCAAGTTCTGCAATATTACTAAGAAGTGACTTTTCAGGTCCGCTTTTATATTCATAAATCTTTTTTTTTTCCCATGTACTGTCAATATATTTCAGAAAATTTAAAGATTTTTTGTGTATAATTTCCAATTTCTCATTATCAGCATTTTTTCTATGATCACAGTAAGATTTTATTCGATCAGATATGTCATTACTTGAAAATGAACGTTTTAATCCCAATTCATAAAGAAAACCATTACTTAATTGAGCAGTTTTTTTATGATAGCTATTGTTGTTGTTATTATTTGATGGTGCAACGAAATCATTAATAGGGAACATTTTTTCATTTTCAAAGAAGAATTCTAGAAGCTCTGGATCATAAAGTTCCTTCGGTTTGGATAATACAATTTTATCATCAACTTCTGTTTTTCCTTGCACCATCAACATTGTTCCACTAGGTACAAATTTAGTCTCTGCCAATTTCTCTTTAAACTCATTATCATTTCTCATAAGTACAGGTGATACTTGAAAAAGTTTTTCGATAACTACTTTAATTTCATCAAAATTACGTTTTTCCAAATATGGTAAAACAAATTCCTTCCAATATCTTACATGTTGTAGACGTGGGATTTTGATTACATCTTCAAGCAGATATCTGTAACTGTCACTACTATCAGTTCCAACATGTAAAAATCCATCTTTATTTTTTGGCACAATAATTTTTCCATAAGATTGTTCATCTTCTGTTGGTAGAAGAAACCATTTTTTGTTAGTTACAACCAAATTAATCAATTTGTCATTTTCATCTACCTCGCTATATATAGGAAGATATCTTAAAACTTCGATAATATTTTTAGGTTCTAGCAATAACTGATCTAGTTCGGTATATTTTTTCAAATATTTTGCTAAATAATTTGAAAATAAAAGAGAATTTTGTTTATTTAATTGATGCGGTAATAAATTGTTTGGATATTGTTTATTGGATTTCAATGACTTTAACACTGCTACTGCATCTGTGATGTTGAATACATAATTTTCTAATCTGGTTTCTTTTGGTGCAAAATTTTCATTAAATTCTTTTTCAACAAAAACAAGTCCAAAAGATTTAAGAATGGTAACTATTTCTTCAGATGAAGAGTTGCTTTTCTTATCACTATAACAAAAACATTTTTGAATAGTTTTTAATCTCCTCAAAGTAATATTAACATTATCATCATTAGTTGGTAAAATATGAAGATTCTCAAAATGTTTAAATTCAAACATTTTTCTGCACAATAAATTATCCCATAACTGATAAATCCATTCGCGTTGATTTTTATGCATTTTTATCTCATCGTATTTTTCATTATAATTAACCGAATTAGCCAGGTTTGACTTGATCATTTTAGCAACTACGCTTTCATTCAAAATTTTAATGTTGCTGATTCCATGACGATTCGCTTTTGCATTGTTGTACAATTTATTCCATAAATTTGATGAAATTTCTTTATCAACGAATTTTGCTAAACAGTTTTTAAAAATCTTTCTCTCATCATATTCAAGCATTACTTGATTATTGTCAGGACCAATATAATAATAATCCTCATCCTCTCCTTCGTTTGATGATGCTGTTGAAATTGTGCCTAATGATCCATCAGATAATGGAATCATTTTTAATCCATCTAAATAATCTGATTTATCATCACCCAAAATATAATTAAATATGATGAGAATTTTATCTCTTGGAATATTTTCCAGCAGATATTTCCTTTCATAGAAAAACATTTTTACAATTCTGGGTGAATAGAATTTAATTGAAGACCCATTTTTTTTAGATTCCTTCAACACAATTAATATTTCACTAGGAACTTCGATCACAGGGAATCCTAAATCTGCCAAAATTTTGAATATTCTTTGATCCTGTGTTTGTGATTCATCTGGAAAGTATCCGTCAGAAATAGATAACCAACAAAAATTTCTATCAATTGATGATGGTGAGGATGATGATAGTAATGCTGAATTGGAGTCAATGATTTTAGAAGGACTAAAAAAAACTTTGTCTTCAACTTTAATATTTTCCACAACATTTAATAAAATATCTTTACAAAATTTATTGACACTGGATCTTTTTGATGAAAATAATGGCCAAAGTGAATAAAATTCTTTGGAATTGTTGTAGATCACATGAGAAGAACATAGTTGATGTAACAATTCTACCCATGCAGATGGTAACACTTGGTTAAACAAATATTGATTCCAACCAACTTTAAGACGAGCCAATGAACCTACAGCCTTCATTTAAAAAATAATTTTATTTATAAATATATATTTATATAATAAATATTTATATAAATTGAATTCACTTACCAGATCTTCATTATCAGCAGGTAAAGAACGGCGATTTGTGCTAACCTATAAACATATATTAATATGATTATAAAATGTATATTAACATAATATATTAAAAAGCATTTATGAAAGTTACCGCAAAATATCCATGAACAGAAACTCTAAAAGGCATTTCAATAGGGAGTGGCAGAAAACAAAATAATCGACCAATTGCTTGCTGATCATCTAAACAAACAGCTAATCCGACATTTGGAACAAATTTGTATTCTCCAATGCTTCTTTGAAATTGCTTTATGAAATATTTTTCTGCTTTATTAAGATTATCCAAGTAATTTAGAATCAACCATTTTTGAATTTCTGGCTTGCTATCCTTTTCGTTAACACATTTACTAAATTCGGCAATGTATGCTGGTTTAGAAATACTGGTGTCAACTCTTTGATCTTGAAAAATTTTCATTTGATTGACAATTTGCTCGACAACTAATCGACGTCGACTTTTAACTTTATCAGCATTTTTTAATTCAATCTGGTATAACAAATCAGGTTCCATGGCGCCTTTTTTAAATTCATAGAAAGAAATTGTTTCGATGTATTTCAAGAAAAGTAAACAACTGATACTTTCTTTTTGATAAAAATTTTCAAACATTTCCAATATTTTACTTGGACTATAACTTATATTAGAAATATTAGAATCAATAGAATCTTGCTCAGTTCTTAGTGGATAACGAAAAATTGTTCCATTGAATGGTTTGTTGAATTCAATGTTGCCAAAGGGCTTTGAGAATGGCAAAAATTGATCTTTATAAGAATTTTGTAAATCGTCTTCAACGAAATCAAAAGAACGCCCGCCTTCGAAATAATATTCATGTGGATCAAGAATCACATAATTCCTATTAGTAATAAATGAAGGAGAATCGGTTATATGATAAATTGAATTGAAGCCAACACCCATAACTAGTATTAATAAAGTAATAATTAATTATTATTGAAAATCAGATAAATTTATATTTTCAATATTTATTATAATTAATTTATATTTACCTCCAATTTTGTCAAATTGATCACGCTTTTCACTATCAGCCAACTTCAATAAAGAGGAAAAATCTCTTTCATCAAAAATAGTATTATTTCTTGATAGCAAAGCAGGTCCTTGATAACGTTCAAGTTTTAAATTTTTTGTTTTACAGTTAGACAATAAAGGCTCGAATAATTGAGTCGACGGATAATCATTATGGTCGAGAATAAATATTTGTTCGGTGCTTTTAGCATCATCAGAATTCTGGAGAATTTCCCTGAGAATTTGAGAACCATCTGGATAGTCTTCAAGAATTCTTTTGATTCTATTAGTGTACGGCTCTCGAGGTTTGAAAGTTATTCCGATAGATTTTTTTGACATATTAATATTTGTTTGTTCCGTATTTTTTTTTTTTTCCAAAAAATTGCGCAAGAATGTTGTTTACTTATTTCAAACAAAAATAGTTAAAGGAATATTTTTAGAAGAAAAAGATGTAAAAAATAATTTATTGGGAAAAAATTAACAATAATTATTAGGTGAGAAAAAAGTAACAATACTTATAATTAATTAATATTAAGATATTAAGGCAAATGACTTATCTTAGTAACATGTTTCAATATTAATATCTTTTAATATTATATTGTTAATATCTTAAACATTCTATTGTAATAACCTAAATAATCTAAAATTAGGAATTCTTTTGTAATATGATATGATTAAAAAAAAACCTGTTTTTTTTTCGTGTTTTTTATTTTTATTAATTGTTAGCAAATTTGGCAAAACAACAAATACAGTGCAGATCGTCAATAGTCAAAGCTGCGACTCTAACCTATCGGTTAGATATTTAAAATTTTATCAAATTTCGTGTAACAATGATTTTTTTTTTCAAAATATAATGACGTGTTTTATTATTGTAATTGTAATGGTAATAGGGTCCTGCGACCTAATGCTCGCTTTGTCCGGTCTTATTGAAACTAGTGTTTGTTGTCAAAATCATTTTGAAGAGGCGAAAGTCAAACTAAAGTTAAAAGTTATATGTCAAAACTAAATCAAAAGTCAAAAGTCAAAACTAGAGTTTCGCAACTGTGCGAAAGTCAAAACTATAGCTTTGGAAACCAACACTAGTTTCAATATGGCTCACACATAATAATAAATTCATTATAGGAATATAGAATTGTTTTGCTTGTACTCATAGTAACTAGGTCTCAAATTAAATGTTTCAATTTGCCTGAACGCGATAAAGAGCTTTTAATCGACAAAATGGCACTTGGTGAGAAACCACCTTTATAGTCAATATTTTAGTCACGTTCGACGACTAAAGTAAAAAATATCGTCATACATCACATACATCATTGGTCAAAGGATTTTTCTTTAGTTGACGTCCCTCACTTTAGTCAAGGTTTTACTTTAATGACAAAACTTTTGACTTTAGTCATTGACGTAACTAAAGTACTGAATAAAGGTGGTTTCTCGATTAAACCCCCTGACGAAAGTAGTAAATCTTTACATATGCAAACAAATGATCAATTATAAGTTATTAAAAAAATAAGATGACTTTTTTTTTGAAGGAGTTTTGTAATCTTAATATGCGCCGTTTTATTCCAAGAGGTTTCAAACACACTTCCATTAAATATCATTTACGAATGCTTTTTTGACTTGAATATTCTTGCACAAGTGTCCAAAATGTTCATTATAAAATGTAGTGATATATAAACCATTTAGAATATTTTTATAGGAAGCAAAAAATTTACAGTTATGGTTTAAATGTGTTAATTCCACTTCCTTTTTTTATTGGTGCCTTCAGACAAGATTTTGTTTTCGTATGTCGTTTTCAAAATTTTTCTTAAATCTTGACCATTGTTTAATATATTTAATACTAACTTTCCAAACTAGAATCCAATTTTATATTAATTCCGACATCAGCTATTCCTTCTCCTCCACCTCCCTTCAATAACATCACTATCTTCAGAGATGTTCTCTAAAAACATGGTGGTAGCGTAATTTGCTTTCATTTTCAAAATCATTTGAAAGGTCAAATTAATATTAGAGTGTTGTAAATACATTATTATGACCAACAAAGTTTTTAAGGGGCCAAAAGTTATTTAAAAAAAGTATTTTTATGCAATGTTAAAATCTTACACATAAGATCCCATATGAAAAATAATGAAAAATAATTAATAAATGGTGATTATCTACCCATCAACAATTCAACTTTAACCTTATCAGCTATTTATTATTATTATTATTATTATTATTATTATTATTATTATTATTACTACTACTATTATCATTGTTGTCATTATTATTATAGTTACGATTATTATTGCTACCATTGTAATGAATGTAATGATTATTCCTTTGGGCTCGTCCTGAGTGGGAGGATTTTATATGTTGATTATTGTTTGAAAAAGGTCTTCCCATCCCGAACATGGCAGTATCGTATTGGATTGCACGTGCTATAGCTTTCTCTAATGTATCAGGGGCTTGATATGCCACTTCCATCTTTGTTGATGGCTTCAATCCATCTATGTAATAAGTTATTTGATCTAATTCCCCCATGCCCTCAACCTGACCAATTAAATTTTGAAATTTGGATGTGTATTCTTGCACAGTGCTGTTTTGCCAAAGTCTTTTGAGTTGTTGATGTAAATACTGCTGATAATTAGGAGGTTGAAATGCTGCCCTCATGGCATTTCCAAGATTTTCCTAAGTGCTATATGGAGGTGTATTATTATTACTTATTACTTTGTTCAGGTACCAATGCAGAGCGGAATCCTTGAGTCCTGTAGTAGCATAATTAACTTGGGTGGCTTCTTCTGTAACCCCTTGTGCTCTGAAAATTGTTTGAACTTGTAACAGCCATGCTACCACATTTTCCTTAGGTTCACCTCGAAAAGCTGGAATTTGTACAGAGATTTTGGGTGGTGCAGTTGGAATAGCTGCATTTCCATTTCCTCCTTGTTGATTTCCAAGCTGTGCAGTAAGTTGTCCTAATGCTGTTATCAATTGGTTGAATTGGTCGCCATTCATAGTTGTTACTTGTTGTTCTGGATCACCCGCAATAATAGTATTTAATCCTTGTAATTGAGTAGTGAGGGTTTGTTCAAATTTTATTTCTACGTTGGTTTGTGGTTGTGGAGTCTGATTTCTTCAAGGTATTGTTGGTTTAAAATGTCTGATTCCTCTAATTCTCTTCCTGGTTGTGATGTAGAAATGATAAAGCTTTCTTGTGAATTCTCTTCGTCAGAGTCGTTATTATTTTCTCTAAAAGCCCAGTTATACAAATTGCTCATGCAGGAGTATAAATAATAACGAATGTATATATAACATAATATATGTATGTGTAAAAAAAAAACGTAATGTAAACGTGAATGTGTGTGTGTGTGTGTGTAAAACAAAAACGTATTGTAAACGTGAATGTGTGTGTGTGTGTGTAAAACAAAAACGTCCACTGCTTTTTCAATTATATATTGTAAAGTGAATGTGTGTGTAAAGTTTTGTTTGACGCGTCCAATTGCAAGTATAAGTAGAATTTAAAAGTAAATATAATAAATAATTAGATATTAAAATTTTTTCTTTACTATACATAAATAATGATTAGAATAGTAAATAAGCAACAATAATGATTAAATTAAAAGGTGTTTTATCTCTGACTTTATTCATTTAATTATTTATCATAGTGATGTAGTAAATCCATATAATAACTCAACTGCCAATTGTAAATCTATTACTATATTAATCTATAATTATTTCGAATTTACAGATCCCATTCAATTTTTTAATCTTTTTATCTCACTACTGCACAATTCTTTTGATGGTTGTCTTTTTTATTCTGCGATTTACTTTTTTCATCCAAGCCTTTTCATGTTCTGGTAATAATTTGTCGACGAGCGAGTCGTGTTTTGAACTATTAAGATGGTCCTCCATACATTTAGGTAAATAAATACAAATGTTATTGGGTGTTACGTATTTTTCGAAAAAATTTTAAAAATTGCTATTTTTGAAATTTGGCCACATGGCGCAGCAATAGGAGGTCTTTAGACCGAGCCAGCCATATAATAAACCTACGTAATTTAAAAAAAAATAAAAATTCAAAATAATTCAATGGAATAAAATTTGTTCAATGAAATGTTGTAAACTGTATATATCCCATGCACAACTTGAAATATAAGGCTCATTTTTCCATTACTAGTACTTGTTTCGGGGTAAGACATGCAATGGCGAGCCCATGTGACTCTCTTAAATGTGTTATTAAAGTCCAGCGAGTGAGAGAATGGAACTCTTGCTGGTGGCTCATGCTGGGTATATTGACCATTCGTGACATACCTCTCTCTTTTGTTAATTTTTATTGTTTATTTTATTTAGGAAACATTTAAAAAAAAAAAAGAAAAGAGAGATAAAATTCGTTAATTGATTTGATTGGTTACATTTGTAATATATGAAATCCGTCAATTATGAGAAGCATTTTGAGGATGACAATAAAGATTAAGATCTGATTTTGTTTCATGAAAATACTCAAGTTTTTCAAAAAACGGCTGTCCTATTTATATGTTTTGGGTTTACAAAATAGGTTACTGTGTCTTGGCCCAAGTGATGTCATTTTTTTTGCTCTTTGCGACGAAGATGCAATCCCAAACCCGACTTAAAATAAATGAATTTTTGTTCTCACGTAACATGGTGTGTGTGATTTGTAACACGAAAACCATAAGCTCGCGTTGCATTATCAGTTGTGAGCTTGTTGTCATTATTATTAATTTTCATTGCATTGCCCAATAAAACAATTTATGGAAAGAAGAAAAAAATTCATTAGATAAATTGTTTTCAATAGTGAATCAGAAAAAAGACATTCCTTATTGCAATATAATTATTTATCTCAGCATTTTTATGTTGCTCCTTTATTCAAACTATAAAATACGTACAAATTCTATAATAATTAACATGCTTTGATAATAATAAGATTTAATTAAGTTTATCTACTATATGCTAAAGTTTACAAATAAAAATAAGTATTTTTTTTTGTATATATATAATATATATATTACCGAAAACTACTTGTCATAAATATATATAAAAAAAGATGTATCAATAATAGAAGGAAGATTGAATAATGTCTTTTATAGTTTTGATTAATGAAGACTATATATAATTGGATGTTTTGGAATCAAAAAAAAAGTGAAACGAAAGGAATTGAAAAAAGATCAGATAAAAAACCATACACATTTATAACCAATTCTTAATAATTATCATGTTATCATGTTGAAGTCTCAAGTCAATGTTTATCAACTAATCTCAATACAATAAAGTTATGGTGATCTGCATAGCATAGTGGACACTGTTGCAGATCAACAGTCATTTGTATAATATGCAGGTGGTTACACAGA